TTTTAAATTGCATTTGTAGCCTGCCTTTCTTTCGGGGAGCTTGAGGCGAAGTGCGTGGTTTTCTCTCTCTGTTCCCTTTTTATCTTGATAATTCTGAAAAATAGCTTGGGCTGAAAACTAGTGACTGGTCTCCAGGTCAACTTCTGAGATTCGTGGCAGAGCCAGAATTTGAACCTGGGTTTCTCCAGACCTGGTTTTCCACTTTAAACACTATGCCACGCAGCCTCCTCTTCCTGATGAGGGGGGGGGGGTGTCGCCTCAGAGTAAAGTGAAATAAGGTTTTCACGAGTTTGCTTTGACGGGAAGAATGTGTCTGTTTTACTTGGGTTTAATTCTTCTGGGAAACTCAAAACTCTTTCATCTATATCAATTCTGTGAATTTTTCTTTAATGAACTCAGTGCTGGTCAGTATTTTCCATTCTACTTTTCTTTTCCTAACAATCCTGCAAGCAGATTCATGTGAAATCAGCAGCTATTGTGCTGTGTGAACCTACCCACCCTGATTAGTTTATGATTGAGCAGAGTTCCCAGAAAATTGGTCAACTAAGCCAACTGTGGTTAAATTATCAGTGAGTAAGCCTCTTCTGCAAACATAGCCACCTTTGGAGGAAGGTTGGCCACAAATTTAACAGTGCAATCTGCACCACACATTGGAATTAAAAGTCATTGAGTTCAATGGGACTGAATTCTAGAAAAGTGTGTTTAAGATGACTCCCACTGAAATTTAAAGGTTGTTAAAATGGCTTTTGGTTTGGGCTCAGTTGGGTCTGATGACAGGATTGTCTCTGCCCTGTAAAACCTCCTGCCAAATAAACCAGGTTTGCCACATTTCCAACAAGAGGTTCCTAAAGACAAATCCCACTGAATTCAATGGAACTTCTAGCCAAGATTCTGAGGATCCCCAAAATATTATTTAACACCCCCCATACTCCATCAATGAGGGATCAATGATGGCTTATTCTCCCTGTTCATTTGTTTCTCATAAGAGAAGTGGCTGCACACTGCAACTAGCTATGCGTGATCTAAAATCTTTCTGGGCAATTCATATAGGAAAACCTTTGTCTTCAAAATGATAAACCGCTGAAACTGAGTCACATCCAATAGCCATCTTCCCCACTGAAATGATTCTGAGCTCCCAGCAGTTTGTGAAGTGCTCAAACTGCTCTAGGGTTTTGTTACTGAATGCTGACCTGAGTGAATGCTTTAAATGGCAAGTACGTAGACATAGAAAACTGGTACGGTAGCTGCTCTGACAGTGTAGCTTTCTCTGTGCAAGGATAAAAACCAACCAGGAATTGCATCCAAGTACAAATGCTTTTACCTAAAGAGTTAGTGAATAAACCCAGGTTCCTGGATTTTCTGCCAGATTTTGCCAATTGTACTTCACACCCTATTGTACAATACTTTATATTGTACTTTGTACTGTACTTTTATATATAAAAGTACATGTATTTTACTTTTCTGGGGGAAAACTATGAATTCTTCTGTTCACTGGCATTGGCACTTCGCTGTTCAGGGGAATACCGTAAACTGGCCTGTTCTGAAGAAACGGGGAGCATCCCTGCAATTAAACTGATAATAGGCGTAAATATATTTAGAGAGTAGGCTCATTTTCTCCTGAATCAAATCTTGAGGAATCAGAAAAAGAAAGGCAGAATCCTCCAGATGACACGTTTCTTTTCTTTTTCTCCCCTCCTCACCCCCTTTGGTCACTTTTGATTCCCACTGTAGGAGGAGAGCCGCATTAGTCTATGGCGAGAAAAAAATAAGGAGTCTGGCAGCACATTTTCTGACTAACAAATTTTATTAAAAGTTGAGCTCACAAAAACGTATGCTTTTTAATAAAATGTGTTAATTGGAAAAGGTGCTGCGATTATGAGACACGGGAGTGGGTGTTTGTTGACTCGGGGCCCCCCTTCGTTTTCTGCAAAAGGCTAATGCAAAACCCATTTCTTTTAGTTGAGGAGATTCTAACCTAAAATCCGGGAGCACTGAATTTCTGCTTTCTGAAAGGATTGTTAATGGTCTATCATACAGGAAGAAAGGGGAGGGGGGGAGGAACAACATCCGAAGTTGAAGCCTCAATGCTCCAACAAAACTAACTCATCATTTTAGAATTTGTCAGTTTCATTTCTGGAGCTTGAAAGTCATTCCAGGCACTTGTCAGCTTCATTGCCAGTTATTGGCTTTATACAGGAATCAGTCAGTTTCATTTCTGATCCCTCCAGCCACATTCTGGGCTATTTGTTTTGGCTTTATTTAAATAAAAAGATCTATGGAACTTGACTCAAGGGACTACATGGGTAGGCAGATTACATGAGAGCACATTGCTATTAGTTTCTTATGGTAGTTTTGGTCTACTTCACAGTCTAGCCTACAGTCCTGGGATTGCAGCTTTACATGCAACCAGCGGGATCAGTTACCTGTAGCCATTCAGCCACGCAAAACCATGGCTGATCTTCTCATCAGCCTCTTGCTTTTCTTTCTGTCCTCCTTTCAGAGCAATTTGTGGAGAAGTCGTCTTGTTCTCAGCCTCTGAGTGATATGCCAAGCTTGGACACCCATGGGGATTTCAGCAGCAGTAGCAGCCCATCATCCCTCTGCACAGAGCCACTAATCCCCACCACCCCAGTTATCCCCAGTGAGGAGATGGCGAAGATCTCCTGCAGTTTGGAAACCAAGGAGCTTTGGGACAAATTCCATGAACTAGGGACTGAGATGATCATCACAAAATCAGGAAGGTAAGAATTTGGAATATGGTTGGACAGGATTTGGGGCAACCTACCCACAGCTGGTACCCTCCAAATATGTGGATCATTTCCTAAAATGATCTAGCTAGAATGGCCACTGCTGGGATTTCTGGAATTTGTAGTTCCAGCACAGCTTCAGCTAGGACAGGCTGATATACAATAAATAATGTATTTGGTTTATTTCTCTGTTTGCCCTGATACCATGGAATATGCTGCCCCAGAGCTGTGTTTAACCCTCTCACTCCTGGCATTCAGAAGAGCACAGTCTTTTTTTTTTTTTTAGTAAATGGGCCTCTGATAGTGTTGAGCAACTAGATTGTTTTTATAATGACCTTGATCTGTACACTGCCTGGAGTCATGTGTTTGGAGCAGTAAAAAAAAAAAAATGGGAATAAATACATTTTTTAAAAAAGTATTATAATCTAGTTCCAAGGGGCAGCACACTCTGATATGCATCAGCTCCAAGGGAAGCATCATCAGGCAAATGGCTAAAGTCAACTTTGAGTTGAATTTTAATGAAAATTGGACTGGCTTGATTTTATAGGAGAACACATATGCTGAGTTAGAAGTTTGAAAAAGGGTGAATTGGCTATGGACAAGCCTGCAAGGGCAGCTGGAGATTTACCCTTCTAATATTTTAAACATCCAGCCCGTGCTAGAAATCTTCCCAGGCAATGAAGTGGTGCTGATTTGTTCACCTTGTCATTGCTCTGTTACACCATAGCACTGAGTGACACACAGCTGAATGGGTGAATTGCCACCACAGAAAAGTGTTGCATTTGAGGTGTTGTCAGATAACATGATTTTTTTTGTCTGTTTTTGATCTGTGATGTCTGTTTCACACAAGCACTAATAGTCAGTTGATGTCAAAGTCTCACAGTGATAAACATGCATTGGATATTTGCCCTTGTAACCCATAGCAGCCTCTGAAAAGTTACTGTGGCTCATTAATGTATAATGCAAGCCATCAGAAATCATCTCACACTACTTTCTGTTTCAATATGAGAAGAGAGATGGAATCTATACTAAACTGGTATATTAATATGTGGTGCAAACGTTCACTTGAACTTTTATTTGGGGAAATTTTTTAAAAAATAAGGCATTTGAGGGAGAAGAAAAGTACATTTCAACTAAAACATCAAAGTGACTAAAATTAAAATCTTTGTAAAAGTAACCATAATTTTAATGGAACAAATCTAATTTATGAATAAAATTTATAAATTTTAAAAATGGGGAAGGGGAGATTGAGAGAACTTTATCATAAGCAATTTCCAGAGGAGTAGCTTTTTTAGTTTCTTGCAGTCAAAACAACAAAGAGAATTGAGGTGCTTTTGAAGACCAAAACAGCCATCCCAGACTTTAGATATGTTGACCTATTAGTCCTCTCAGCCCCAACTGGTGAGTTCATAGCAACAACCATTGCTTTTAGGATGCATTGGACTAAATAAGTTTGTTATCTGTGAGTGATGGGAATTGTAGTTCAATATGTACTCTATTTACGAACTAGGAAAGCAAGGCCAGCATTACATTTTGGAAAAATAAATTCATCAGGGTCAAGAAGCCTCTGTGTTCTGCATAGAATCATATCCAAAATGTTCATTAAATATTGGTGCCTACAGGAGACTCTGCAACACTGCTTCTACTCTGCCACTAATTATACCCCCCCCCCAAATCTGTATATAAATGGAACAGTTATGACATTGTTTAGGCCAAAATGTATAACATTAAAAAGAATGTTCACATGTTTTGTTAGATTGTTTTCTTGTTTCTGCCATTAGCATCTGCTTCATATAGGAGTCCCATCCAGACCTAAAAGAAATTGGCAGGACAACTTAATGCCCTTGTTTATTTCTCACTAGAACTTCTGCATCAGCTCAGTTTGTAACTTGACTAAGTAGCTAAATACTAGCCATGGTCTTAAATGTGATGGTAAAAACTATAAAGATTACCTTCTTTATAGTGGCCTGGCAAAAAAATAATAAAAATCAACCCATTCTAAATTAGAGACTGATATGAGAGAATGGAGTCATTCTGGGTCTTGGTTCTGTTATTTTCATCCTGCTTTTTGGTACAGTCATCCTTGCAAATCAGTGGGACTAACTAAAGAAAGGCAATCTGATGCTTTCACCTGATGTTATTAATACACCATTTTCCCTCCATGGACTCAGACTAATTCCTAACTCTTTCCTTGTCATTTTATTTTCACAATGAGTCTCCTGTAGTTCAGTTTCCTAATGTTCAACACTGGTAGGGGAAAAACTCTGTTTTTCAATAATTGCTCTGTTTTAAAAGACATTTATAGTAGTCATTAAGCCACACTAAATTAAAAGTGTAAATTACACTGCAGGTGCAAAGGATTTATTTGGTTTCTTTTTTAAAACATTTGGAAGAGGTTGCCTGAAAGATCCTTGTAAAATATTCTGGCACCCCATCCAAGCCTAACCTTGGTCACAAGTTGCTTGAGACAAATGCACCAAGTTTTAGATACTAATTATGGAAGTTCTTCACAGAGTTGTCTGACAGACATTCTTATGGTCTGCAGGAGTCATAAGATGTGTTGGCACTGCCTATTGATAACGGCATAATTCATAACAGACATGAGAACTGTAAGGAAGCCTAAGAGCTAATTAATGAAAAAGGAACATAAAGAAATGGAGTACTGTATGTTGAATTATCACCCTGATCATAAACTCTAAAGGGGGAACTGAGTTTGTGTGTTAAAACAACAGCACTGAATATTATTGTTACAATATAACCTTTAATAGTTTGGATTGCACTTCATAAATGCATCAGGTGATGCAGAGTGTGGAAGAGACAATTGTAAGCAGTGACATCAAGCTGGAGGTAAATAAAATGAAGAAATTGCAGACACAGATAATTACCTTATTAATGGTGGCCATTCTCAAAGTAGTTTGGGATTGATAATTCAAATATCTGCAAATATCTGGTAATGACTGTTGTACTTTTTGCATTTCATGTTTCTCAAATCCAACTGCTTACAATTTCCTACAGTGCCATATATATGTGTGTGTGTGTTTGTGTGTTCTAGGGCAAAATATTCTCAGGACAATATTTTATGGTTCTGATAATGTGGACTCATATTTGGAAGCAAAATTGTTTCTCACTTCCTAGGGCATCTCCAGAATTTTGTAAGACTATTTCACACATTGAACTTTTGTAAGATTATTTCACAGTGTCCAAACTCCTTAAGACACACAGCCAAGCATATCTCTCTGACAGATGTCACAAGCTACAAGAATTCCAGTATTCATACTGGAAAAAAAATGTGATGGATGAAATGACATTAGTGCAAGACAGACTGAATTGTTGCACAACAGATATATGAAATTCAGATAGCTCTTTCAAAATTTACATCTCTGAAGTAGGAAGATTGCACTTTTCAGCATTTAGAGAGCGATGGTTTCGTTATTCAGAAAATTCTAGGTTTCTCAAACAACATCTCTGTTTACTGCTTTCATTGAGGAAACCTGCTTTGTGTTAATATGAGTTGAAAGGGTTTTATGAAAACCCAGCAAATGGTGCACTGAAATTGCAAGTCTCCAATTCTACATCATTTTACTTTTTTTGAAATCTTTATTCAAAGATTTCTCTGTTTTCCCCCTTTAAAATGCTGAAGATTTTAAAAAGTAGAGGGATACACACCAAGAAAGTTGCTTCTCCTCTGCAGTTGTGGGGAAATTAGCAAGATATGAATCAAAACCAATCAATCAGATCAATAAAACATTTTTTAAATATCCAGTGCAAGTATGCTGACTCCCATCTACCTCCTGCTGTAGAAAACCTCCCTTTCATTTCTGAAGTGGAAATCAAGATAATGGGCTACTGGCACCAGATTGTTCCTCACATGTGTGCAGCACTGTGAGGGTAGAATAATTATTTGCTTCAGATGTGGTATGTCATGGAAGCTTAAATGACTTATGCTGCTGCAGTTTCTCCAAGGCCCAGAGTTACAACCATTTCTATATTGTAAGGCTAGATGTGTGGGGAAATACACAACTGATGGCAATGTTAGGCTCTGTGCCTACAAGTTGCTGCTCACCAAAAGTACCCTCTGTGTTTGCACAGTCTCTATTCCAGTGTTTCTCAACCTTGTCCACTTTAAGATGGGTGGACATCAACTCCCAGAATTCCCCTGGCTGAAGTCCACCCATCTAAAGTGGGCAAGGTTGAGAAACACTGCTCTATTCAGTTGATTGCTATATTACCTCTCTTTTGAAAGTGTCTGCAATCCCTGAGGATCCCCATTGTCTTCTGAGATGTTTACCTGCCTCCCCTCTTTTTATTTTGTGCAGTTGGCATGCCAGTAGGACTGGAAGGGACAAAGGCGGACATATGTGTCAATCAAAACACAGTCTGAGCCCATTCCCCTTATATGAATTCAAAATGTTTACAATGAATGGAATGCCTTCAGTCAGTGTATACTGCATGGTGATATGGCTTATTTTAAACATCCCCAAACAGAAAGATTACAGGCACGGTTGGAATTTCCCTCTCTCTCTCTCTGATGGCCATACTACGAGGTCTGTTTTCTTATCGGTTTTAAGGGGGTTCTCTTTTTCTTAAGTTTCTTCTTTACATATTCATTTTCTCATTGGCTTCTTTCTGTTTCAGAAGAATGTTTCCAACCATTAGGGTTTCCTTTTCTGGCGTGGATCCAGAAGCCAAGTTCATTGTGCTCATGGATATAGTTCCAGTGGACAATAAGAGATACAGATACGCCTACCATAGATCTTCCTGGCTGGTTGCTGGCAAAGCAGACCCCCCTCTGCCTGCAAGGTTAGTTCACCTGCACGTAATGTACATGCATGCAGACACACGTGCACACATACACACCTCTGCCATTAATATTTTCTTTGGCTTTAAAAACTCACAGCAGGAGCTCAACAAGCAGGAAAAAAGTGTCTATGGATACCCAATGTATTTCCATTGACATGGAAGTAGATTTTAGTGGAACAGTTGCATATACACTTCTGTCTCTCCTCAGCTATTGAAATACTTAAAATCTCTTGGCATAAGTTAACCGATAAGAAAAAGTCTTACTTCTAATATGTAAACTGAAGTAATGAATTGGTCAACTATTCTGTCCTTTCCTTAATATTTTTGTTGTATTAAAATAAGTGACCAGAAGAAGCAGGGGAAAGCATGATATGCTGTTCTTTCTAGATATTTTCCAGATCACACTTTTTAGTTATCCTTCTATTACTGTTATTTTTTAGTCTCAATTGATATGCATAACTGAGAGGCTGTTGTTTGGGTTAATTTACTGAGGAGTAATCTTTACCGAACAAGGCAGGACTTCATTGTAAAGAAAGTTGCCAGGAACAAGATGTCTTTCACAAATGTCAAAACCTTAACAAACTCTTAATGCCTTTTTCCAGTCTTTGTAGCTGCATTGATCACAGGCTCCATCATAAACACCATGGAGCATTTAGAGGGAAGACTGTTTAGGTATGCATGGTTCTGGAAAAAAAATCTTAGAAATGGTGCCTTCGGATTGCCCTCTGATTGCACTAGCCTTGACTGGTTTTAGTGTGATGTGTTTGCTCCTCCTATAACTTGAGCTTTTTGCAGATTAAACTGAAATTCTCAGTGGCTTAAACTGAAAGAACAGGGCTCTGTCCTTAAGCCCTGGGGGTTTTACATTCACCTTTCCATGATTACCATCTGGGTTCTGAAGCTCTGATTCTAAAACTCTTACTTCCAAATGTATGTTTAAAAGTGTTGAAATAGTGGTGAGCGTGGTTTGCAAATTGGTGAAATTAAATTAATTTGTTGCTCTCAGAAAGACCTGTGCATTCATTTCTTCCATAAGGGATGCTCAGAAAGAGAAAGTCACAGATGTAGGTAAGCTTTGCTGACATGCACAGCCTCGAGCGTTCCCTGCATCATCGACACAGAAATAACTTTCAGCACTACAACTGCCAACTCTGTAATGAATAAGGATTATCCAGCATCACTTGAAAGCATTTCCATTCATAAAACTTCGTCACAGATGACCATTAAATCCTTCTTTTCCTGCTGTCAACATGTGAAACAACTTTGTGTGTGTGTATGCTGTGCAGGCATGAGGTTAAAATTCTTTCAGGGAAAACAAATCTATTGTGAGTCATTGCTTAAATGGCTTTCTTAACCCAACCAAATGTTTGAAAGGCATGCCAGCCTTATAAGTTCTAGCTTGCAGGTATCTCTTCTGTCTTTTGTGACATTTTGTGTTGTAGCTTGAATGCATGTACAGAGTGTTTACTTTTTCCCTGAATGAAGCAAGCAACTCTTTGCTCTTAACAACCCATGGTAAGAGTGTTGTACAGATTGAGCTACTGCTCTGCCAAATAATTATTAGTCAACAGGGGGAAAAAGATAGTCACAACACTTTGCTCCACTTCTTGTTTATGCACTGACTGTATTGCCTATGGTTCTTGCTAGGTTGGCCCCCACCCTGCCCTTTACACCCAGCTTTTCTTTCAGTGAGTGCAAGACAACATTCATGGCTGCCCCCAGTTTGATCTTTGTAAACACCTATGAGGGTTAGAGAATGCAAGTAAGCTTTATAGACTGTCTCCCTTGTCTTTTTCCAATGCTTCTCCCAGTCTTCTTCAACCTATTTTCTCCAAGGGCGACTGGATATTGTCGGTCATAATTGGAAGGCACTTGGAGAAGGCCACTTTAACTCCTGCATCACAATGGAAAATGCTTATGTGATCTATGTGTTGTTATTTCAAGCCCTGAACAGAATAGCTGCAGGGAGAGAGAAACAGTATAGTCTATTTGGACAAAAAGATAGCAGAGAACATGCTTAATATATGGAAACATTAAGCATTCATGATGAGATAAAAATATGTCTGAGCTTCCTAAAGACCCAGGAAATAATAGCCTTAAATAGAAACATTTATTTTTGATGCAGACCAGTAGATGAAGTACTTGGTGAGTCTGTTTTATGTTGGTCATATTTATTTAGAGTTTCCTGTTAATTTCAATGGAATTCACTGGAGGTTGCTGCTCTGCAGCTTCATTTTATCCACAGTGTGCTTGTAAGCAAGCCATGCTGTGTTCAGTGAGGCATCCTCATTTGTATACAGATATGGATCTAGAATTTTATCAGAGCAAAGATATGGAATGAAGTCTTCTCTACACCCTGACCAGGATCAAAACTATGCAAGTAGAAAACACTATACTATTTTACTTCCTGAACCCTGTTTCAATTTACACGATTTCTTCTGGTTGAAAAATCTTGAGCTTTATGCAAAAAAGGCCATCTTTCAATCAGAGTCACAATAACCAGTGGTATTTGGTTTCATAATATTTTTTATGAATAATAATGTATAGATGTTTTATTGTGGATGTTTTAACTTATGTGAGCTTTGAATCAATATTTTTTGGAAATGCAAAGTGCCAGGAGTCCACTGTGAATCTGGTGTATATAAACTCAACCAACCAACCAACCAATCACTGCTGGGATTGTTGGTAAAAGAAATCTGCTTGGATCATCTAATATGAAATTATTCTTCCATGATCATTTCATGAGATTGATGCATAAAGGCCACAGAATTTATATCTTAATAATCAAGTTAATGGAAAAACCATAATAGAATCACACCATAACAGAATTAGTGCTACCTACCTACACACTGCTAGGTTTCCAGATTTATAACAGGAATCTTTCCTGGAGCTTTACTTGGGCATCTTGAGCATAAAAAGAATGTGCTTTAACACTAAGCAGTGGTTGTAATCATTGTTGGAGGCACGTTGGAGGGAAATGTCTTTAATTTCATCAAACACAGGTAACTTCCCCTCTTTTTAAGCGATAATAACATACTGCAAAAAAGATTTATCTTTTCAAATCTCCACCCACCCCTGCAATTCCAAATGTGAACTAGTATTTCCTATCCAGATTAGACAAATCATCACTTGAAATTATTAAAGGATTAGGAAAGATGAGCCACAATGAAAAAGAGTAAGGAAAAATAATAAGCAGAATGCAAAAACCCAAAGAGCCAATGTTCAGAAAACTAAGATGATGATGATGATGATGATAATAATAATAATAATAATAATAGAAAAAAAGGCTATCAGCTCTGTTGTTTTTATTCAGTTCACTTGTTTGGGGCAAATATCTTGCAAAATCCAGTGGTTGAATATTTTCCCCCAGTCCCAACATGTTTCTCCACCTAAAACTAAGTGCCACTTAGATTTACATCTGTTCTTTGGCTATTTTCTTTCTTTTATATGGGATTAGAGAAGAGTCCAAACCTAGTTAGGCAAGCTGAATTAAAGCTTTGAGGGTGATGCCTACTAGTTTAAGTGCTGATGTTTTATGGAATGCATCTACCTATCTCTCTGTCTCTCTATCTGCTTTCTGGACCTTGATGGGCTCTGTTGTCTGGCTTCCCAGGCTGTATGTGCATCCAGATTCTCCATTTACAGGGGAACAATTGCTGAAGCAGATGGTATCCTTTGAAAAAGTGAAGCTAACAAACAATGAACTGGATCAGCATGGTCACGTGAGTACCTGGTCCTGTGGGAAGGGAAAACAGTGCTACACCCTCAGGCTCCTGCTGCTGCACCTGTGGAAATGCCCAAAATGGCAATGGTTGCTCCTATGATTATTAAGTAACCTTTAAGGCTGTAAAATTTCATGGATTGAAAGGAGGGGACAGGGCATGGAACTGTATCTTATACCGCAGAAAAGATTCTAGCATTTATTCTTCTGCTCTGAAACCCCATTTTAAGACCTTCTGCAACACCTAACTTATCAGTTTTCCTCCTATTTAAAGTTTCTTTCCTGAAAATAATTTTCCTGTCTCCTTTTTGTTTGATCTGTTTTGAAGAGTGATAAAATAAGTCTAAATGTTGGAACCTGCTAGTGTGCAAAGCTTGAGAATGCAACCTGCATTTGGCCCACCATAGCTTTGAGTGACAGAAGCAAGGAAGTATTAAATATATTGGGAGCAGTCATATTACATTCAGTTGAGTTTCCATATTTAATTAAACTCAGCCACAATTGTCCTGATCCTGCCCACATGTTGGCGCAGCATGTCATGTGTGACCCTTAGCCCAAAGGTTTTTGCAGCTATGATGTAAAATGCCAATCACTGTATTTTCAATCCAGGATAAATATTGTATGTCTGGTTATATCAAGAATAAATATGAGAAAATGAGAATGACCTTCTAATTTATTTCAATGGGAACTTAAGTAAAAATAATCTTACCTTTTGTTTTGAAGTGTTCTGACACCGGTATCTCTGAGACCTCCAAAACCCTGTTGGGAATCTGCTAGAGTGACAAAAACTAAGGGGGAGAAACTTGTATGCTTTTGGCTCCCCCCATTTAAAAAACCTTTAGCATCCTTCATCTTATTGAACCTAATAGAATGGAATTAATCTTTGGCAACTGGTATAGGTTAGAATGTGCCCAGGGCTGTGACCAGGACCCAACTGATCCATGGTTTCTCCTGATACTAGCCAGGTATCTGGTGTGCCTTCTTTGTCCTCTTCTAATGTAGCAGTTTTGATAGATGAGATGAGATAATTTGCTGATCAAAAGTGACTCTCTGCTTTCTCTCCTTTTCTTCTCTAGATAATATTGAATTCAATGCACAAATATCAACCTAGAGTGCATATCATCAAAAAGAAGGATCATACAGCTTCCTTGCTTAACCTGAAATCTGAAGAATTCAGGACATTTATATTCCCAGAGACAGTGTTTACAGCTGTCACTGCCTACCAAAACCAACTGGTGAGTGTTTTCATCCAGTCCACTAACTATTGTCAATGCTGTTCTTTTGTAAATTCTACCTAACTGAAATACAGAAAGAGAGGCTGAGTCATGCAAACACACTCAGAGTGGGGCAGAAAGGACAAAATGATCCCTATTCCTTTACCCACATATAAACAGAGCAATTGAGTAGGGTCTAATTTAACTAAAAATAGGCCTATAGGCTGATTTAAGGGTACTTCTAGCTTCTGTCCTTCTCCTCTTCTTGTTCCTACATGTCATACCTGACAAAAATAACATGTAGAAATACTTAGCCAGTGCAGAGCTTCAGTTCTGAGGTTCTAATTAAATATGACAGTATTAATTTAAAAAAAATATTATTGACAAGACCTTACTTCAGAATATGCTGCTGAGCTGAATCAAAATGCTACACCAATTTCTTATAAAAAAAAATAATCCCCCTCTCCCCTGCATTTGCAGTAATATTTGGAGACATAATGTTGTGTGGAAAACTGATATAGATCTCTTACACAAATCTGGAGCATGTGTCAGATTAGGGTATCATTTTTTTCTTCAGAATTAAAGTTGGGGTTCTTCTTCAGCTGCTACTGCAATTGACTAACATAAGGTGATTGTGGAGGTCAACACAAAACATTGATCATAACAAAGCCACTCAAGAAGCAGAATAGAGGCTCAGCTTTGGATGGCTATATGTTTCAGCCCTCAGAGTTTCTAACAATCTTGGATTGGAATATGTGTGTGTGTTTAACTACCCCATTTCTGCCAATTCAAGGAGACAAGGAACAGGACTGGTTTATAAAAACCAGCATGTTGTTGAGCTAATTGGAAAAGTCAATCACTTCTGATTATATGCCATAATTGCTTGCTTTCAGAGAAGATGCCTGCTGTAATCTTCCTGGATCACTTTTTGAACTATTCCCTTCCGATCAGGAGACATACCAGATTAGTAACTCCTGCAAGAACACACTAGGTAAAGTCTGCTGAAGGCACTAAAACAGGAATGGAAACCTCTGGTCCTCTTAATTTTGTTAAAATGCAACTTTTATCAACACCTACCAGGAAAACCAATGGCCAGGGATGAACTTGTAGCAACACCTGGAGGCTCACAGGTTGCCCATACATGAATTAAAACTAAATGATTTTTTAGATAGTAGATCAAAGAATGTGCCTCTTAACTGCAATCTAAAATGTGCATTTTTTTTTAAATGGGAAACTTTCTAATTCACATATATTGGCAGTGCCATATATCAGTTCCTCAGAGAAGCACATTTCCTCAGTGAGTGCTTTCAAGATGTTGGGACTGCAGCTCTTGGAATTCTTAACTAGCTGGCAGGGAAATTGGAGTGTTACAGTCCTGACACATTTGGAAATCACCCAGTTGAAGGATATTGCAGAAGACAGTGCTGAAATGTTGAAATGTGTGTAATATACAGTATAGTTCATTTTCTTTCAAATATGGAACTTTAATAACAGTTTACAATGTCTGAAGGTAAAAATCAGAGTAGTAGTAGTAGTAGTAGTATTATTATTATTATTATTATTATTATTATTATTATTA